GTTCCAGCGCTTTCTCTGTTTCACACGTGGAGGTCTTGTGAGGAAGAACACTGCACATTCCAAAAGTAGACTGGAATATGTGCAACATCATGTAGGCTGTTACAGACTAGTGTTGTGCTGTTACCCCTTTGGTTATATTTACTGCTGAAACAACAATCAACTTATTAATCATTTTAATTGTTGGTCAGACTAAGACATTTTAAGATGCTGCTGGGGAATCTGATTACTCTGCAATTGTCAAATTCTATAAACTATTAAAACATAAACTTAATGAAGGAAAAAGAGTGTTAGCATGTATAGCATAATATTTAGTATGTGTTTGCTAGAGCATGTATAGTAATCACCATTGGGCATGCAATGACAGATATATAGCTAATTATTTAATACAGAAATATGTTATTTAATGTAAAGAAAATAATAACAATAATGATGACAATATAGTTCAGTTGTCCAGCTTTGGAAGTTCTTTAATGGTTTGTTTCGACATAAGAAAATAACATTATAATAGAAAATAGAATAAATGATTGAGTTATTACTGGAATAATGGCTGTAATGTAATGATTTGGATGGTTGTTGTTTATTGACAGGTTTTTCTGCATTGATTTTATGTGCGTGGTGCATTGTGCGTCTGCAAACCTCTTAATGGACAGTTGCAATATTTCTTTCCTTTCAAGGGCAGCATATATCTAATATTTATACGAAATAACGAACCCATTTATCTGGAAGTGTATTTTCACGGGGTGGGGGGTAGGGCTTCATAATTTGCAGCTATTTAAAGCCCTGGTTTTGGTAATGAATTATTTTGTCATCTCGACTGTGATGAGATTCATCTTTAATAACTGTAACAATTATTTTATTAAAAAGAGAAGCCATGCATTATGGCTATCTCGCCAAGGTCTCAAGCTGGAAGGAATTCTCATTAAGAGCATTATATTACCCCGGTGCGCTTTCAGTTGGATGTCCCGCTGAAATTACATTAGGTGTCAACAATGTTTGTGTTAGAAGTAAGCAGTCATATTTACAGAGGCTAGCTTTTTCATTTGCTGGCTGACACTGGGAGATGTATTAAAAAAGATACTAATGCTCTGTATCTGATTAAGTCACTTAGAGAGAAACTCCTCCAAAGTGTTGACTTTTAATATAAGGCGAGCCCTGTTCTGTCATCAACGCAGACATAAATCTTTATTTGGAGATGAGGAACTTTTGATTGCTTAAGATTATTTAGTGATTTATTTGGTTGGCACACAGGACTGTTATCACCCCTCGTTCCCAACATTCAGATCCTTTCCAAACTGTAAGCATCAGGTTGTTTGTGTCATGATTGATTCATCAGTGTCTTTTCATCTACATCCTGTGTTTCTTCTGATGGTTAGCGTGGTGTGCAACATTGTGTTTTGTTAATGGTTTCAGGCCCAGGGTTGCTGCTAATGACATGGTTGTAATTGTTTGTCAGTGTGATAATGTGTGATTTCCTATTTCCATGTGAAGTTGGACATTTGATGAAGGAGGGATCTTGTCAGGAAGACAAAGTGCTGTCATTTGTCACCAGCTAAATGAGCTTCTCTCCCGACATCCTCTTGGTTTTCAGTGGCAATATTATATTCACAGATCCTTTTTTTGGGGGGCTGTTGCCATGATTTCCACATGCTTCAGTGCTTTGTATAAAAGAGCCTAGATTAAGATCAAACCAACAGTGAGATACAAGTTTCTAGAGTCCCTCAGGTTGTGTTCTGTGCTGACATATAGAAATCTGTTAACTGTATTTCACAGAAAGACAGAAGTGAAATTACAGAGTGTGGTAATCTTTTATTCTTAGTGTGTGCTAGGAGTCATCACTTCCTTAAATCTAACATTTTTAAACTGAGAAACTATTTCATCATCTTCAGAGGAAAGACTGTCAGTTCATGTATACATTGAGTTAGGATCTTCAGATTTGATCATATAGCCAAATAGCTGTCTTTGGCTACCAGTCAGTGATATATTTTGTCCATTTTGTGTCTCTCCAGTAATATCATAAAGTTATGAGGCACACATTTGCAGCAATTGAAGGACAGGATTGTGAGACTGCCTTCATACTTTCCAAAGTCTTTGATGCAGTCGCCCCCTGAACAGGCTCCTTCTGTTTCTGATTAGACTGATTCCATATTGTGGGGTTGGGGGCAGATCCTTCCTAGTTAACAATCTAATGAGCTAAACAAGCCAAACAAAGGGGAGGTATACTGAATAGGTCTCCTGAGGGAGCTACTTATTGTCACAATTGCCCCTCTGCCTTCTTTCCACTCCATATCGATTCATGTCTTCATTGGTTATGCTCCGTCCGCTGTAACACATGGGTGGTGTAATCAGCTAAATGTAGCCTCTGCTTTCTTATTATTACCTGGGTGCTTAACACTGATGTATATTTTTTTCCTTCAAGGACAAATGGTGTAGGAGAAGGCAGATCCCGTGTGAAGTCCCCGAGCTCTCGCCGAGCGGCAGATCCCTTTTCAGTGCCAGCTGTTCTCTCAGATACACCAGGCCGTGCTGAAATTCTCTTAATATAATTCTGGGGGGCTCGGGAGAATTGTGCAAAACAAGCGTGCCAGCCAGGAGAACGTTGAATTTTTCATCAGCGGGCCTCAACTCGCTGAGTTAGTGGGCAGCGCTCTCATTCATGAGCAGATGTTCAGCGCAGTTACACTCTGCAGTTAATGTGAACTTACTGGCCTCTCTGCCATTGGCTGCAAGGACGTTGGCAGCGACCTGGCATCTGAGAATTACTCCCAGTAAAAGGCGCAGGCCTGGAAAGCATAGCCCCGGCCTTTTTTAGCCACTTCCCAGCCCAGGAGCTGGATCCTGGACAGGGGAAGGCACTGACAGCCCATCCGTCTTCGGTCCGACATTGATGAAACGCTTGCCACTGTTTGCTCGGGGAATAGCAGTGAAATTCCTGAAGATAATTTCCACAAGTTTGTAATTTCTAATGACTGGTTACACCACCCAGCAGGTGAAATATACTGTATGTGTGAGAAATCTAAGTACATGAAGGTACCAGCCCCCAAGCTTTGTATGAAACATTTTTACATGCAGAGGAATTATTCCAGTACCCTTGAAAGAGGAAACTCATAGAAACAAGGCACCTGTGAGGGGTAACATTTTGGCCCTGGTAGGTCTATAGCTGAAAGCAGCTGGTGCTGTGGTCAGCCTGGTGGGCTGTATCCTCTCCCCAGCCTGGTGCTTCAGACATCTGCATGCCCAAGCTGCTCAGCCTGCGTTTGATGTGGCCATACAGATCTGTAATAGCTTCCTTCTAACTAAGCAAAATGCTATTTGATGTAAAGTGCCATTAACTGGTCAGAGTGTGTACGTGACATCAGGTTTTGTAGGCGGCATGCCAATCATCTCGAGTGTGTGTGAAAGTCATCACAGTGAAGTTGTGCATATGGGACTTAAACAGTGGAAATGACAAGCTCTTGTTTCCTCTGCACGTCTCATTTTCACTTTCTAATTGGTCGTTTTCAGGTTGGCTTTACGAGAGCAAAACTAATTAGTGTTTCTAAATTCAGCAGGAAAAAAAAGTCAGTCGGGCTTGATTGTTCTGGTTTCCTCTCCTGTGTCAGGCGCTCAACAATAAAATAAGACTCTAATCATTTTCAAATTGCTCGTATTTTTAAACCCCAGAGCTGAATGTCACTCCCGGTCTCTTGGCATTTTGTTTGGCAAGATCAGGGAACAGTGGTTGCCCTCTCGCCTGTGCGCTCTCTTTGTGATTCGTGGGAAGTTTGGACTTGGGGGCCGGTGGAAAAAAAAATAACTGTTGTGTTTTAGGTGGGGTTGTTTCTGCTTTGATTGGGAACGTCCTGCTGACAGGAGCAGCCTAGCAAGTTTACAGTAGCTGTGACATTGCTGTTACCTTTATTCAAAGTGCTCCAGCTGCAGCGAGCCCTCAGGAAGCCCAGCTCGGGCCCACATGGGCGGCTGGCGGCCCACAGAGAGGAGAATGAGCCCTGTTTGAGTTGGCAGACACTCCCCTCTCGGGGAACTTTTGCTGCCTCTGCAGAAAGGCTAGTGGCGGCGGCTCTGGTGGGGCGGCGGTGATTCTCGGGGCAGGATGGGCTTTTTCCACCTCTCCTCCCTTTCAGGAAACACATTTTGCTGTTTCTTCCCTCTGTGTTTGCAAACGGAGGGAAGGAGTTAAGGCTAGGGGGCATGGGGCAGTGGGACTGAATGACAGAGCTCAGCTGAGTGCTAACGTGTGGTGATTTGAAAAGGACTGTTTATTACCCTGAACAGGCTATATCAGCATGCTTGGTGGAGCTTCATTCATATATGATATGAATGAAATATATATGAATAAAAACACTGAGTGTGCTGTAAAACTGTTTGTATTTTCCCATCAACACTGTAGGGATTCAGGCTTCAGAAGCCAGTAATTAAAAAGTGCTTGGTCTAAGGTTAGGGGGAGCAGTGTTTAAATGCAATTAGTTGCAATGCTCAAATTAATTTGGACTCATTTACAGTTTTTGCCATTATTTGTGTAATCAAGGGAGTTCTCGTTTGAGATGCTAAATATGTACCCACAGATATTTAATTCTGCCTTAATGAACATTCATGTGAAGATGACCTGTTTTGTGTCCTTCCACTGTTGCTCTCACACTTAACTTAGAGGTGTGTGTGTGTGTGTGTGTGTGTGTGTGTGTGTGTGTGTGTGTGTGTGTGTGTGTGTGTGTGTGTGTGTGTGTGTGTGTGTGTGTGTGTGTCTGTCTGTCTGTCTGTGTGTACACTCAACCAAATAGCATCTGAGGTGACTCCACTGTTCCTATTTAATAAGGTGTTTGCTTTTTGTTAGTCGCCTTTACATTTCAAATAATTTCCACTGTTTCTCTCTCTCTCTCTCTCTCTCTCTCTCTCTCTCTTCTTTTTTTTTTCCCCTTTCTACCACCCCCCACCCCATGACTTTCCTTCCTACCTCCTCTCCTCTTCTTCTCTCCTCCCCTTCTATCTGCTGCTCGCCGGTCCAGTCAGGAGACTCCAGTGGTGACATCCTGTGGAGCCAGAGATCAAAGTAAGTACTTCTCATGCACGTCATTTAGCACAGAAACACTGCTCGTGTATTATCTTTTACATCCAACTCATCATAATTTTCTAACTTTTGGACCAACTGTTTTTTATTTTATTTTTAAAGAAGGGCATTGTGTCGAAATTGTTGTGCGAGTTTGATGTGATAAGAAAAGGTTTTGCATAGCAGCCGATTTCCTCATTTCCTGATGCAGTTGCATATTTACATCACTTTGAATGAGGCTGAACATGACAACAGTGACAAGGTTCAGTCAGTCCTGAGAGTCCTCTCATTGCTGACCGCTGAAAGTTGTCTGTGAACCTGAAAAGTAAAGAAAATTGCAGATAGTGTGCCAGATCATGTCCGCATCCCCCTGACTATCCTAGAAGTCATTACTCCTTTGTGTGGTGTATAAACACGTCAAAAACAAACAATGACCCCGGGCAGACTCCACACTGCAAAACAATTTCAAAGCCTGCAGTGTAGTGTAAACACAAAACATGGCTAACCTTCACGCAGGGAAGACTTCACCTTAAACCCTCTGTTTGTTTCTATAGTCCCTGTCGACCTTGGTCAGATGTAGTTTACATCTCTTCGGTTCTCTTCTGGTCGATGTAGCTCAGGTTCTCTGCTGACATTTCGGTGGAGGCTTTCAGTGGACCTCCGCAAAAGGTTGGGATGTTGTGTTTTGATTGAGGTTGCGGATATTTATTATTTGAATACATGTTAAATACATATTACTTTTTAAAAACATCAGAGTCAGATTAGAAAAAGCAGCGAAATAGCATTTAGACCATCATGGGACATTAGAGCTCTCAATGGAGGCCGTACTAATACATTTATTTTAGATAGACTCCTCACTGAGGTTACTTCTCAAGTCACCTTTTCAAAATAAAAATGATGGCAAGAAAAAAGCGAGGCGGATGACTCTATGATCTGTCATGAAGTACAAATATTGTCAAGATGTTCCAGCAAACTCAAATGTTTTTCTAAACTGAGTGTAAATACTGTTTTGCTGGGGTGTAGATTTCCCGTACAGGGACCCTATGTATCAAGTAGTGAATATTCATATTCTTGTTTCATAGACTCCTCTGCCTCTGTGAGCTCTTTCACACTGAGCCGGGGGTGACTGTAGGCTGATGTGAACCCGTATTTTTAATAAAGCCCAGCTGCTGAATGATCAAATAGTGTCTCTAATTAAGGCCTGAGTGTACACCCATGTAAAATTCTCTCTGGAATGCTAACAACCTGTGATATTTCCAGAGGAATTTGCTGTGCAGGTCTCAGAGAGGGGGGCGGGTGGGGAGTGGAGAGTGTTTGGGGGTTTGGAGGGAGGAGGGGCAGTGTTCATGTGGCAAGCCAACATGTTGTTCACATCCGTGTCAGATTGAGGCTAATGAAGGCCAGACTGATCCTTGGATGCAAGCCTTAAGTAAATGATCCCTCTTTGAATATATTAGAGCCCCGTAGCAGCGTTGTGCCTCCCTGCTGTGCCAGCGCTGCTGCTACGTGTTGTCTTGTGGTCTGACGAGGCCGGTCAAAATGGCAGTCACGGTGTTCGATCATGTTGTACACCATCCAACCCGATTTCAGTTTGTCTTGCAGCAGTATTGTTGCATCGAGTCGGTGGTGAGGAACTACACACACACACTGATCGTTTCCACGTTAGTGCTTCTGCAAAACAGTTTGATAGTAAATGGAAAGTATGAGTGTTGTGTTATTTGACAATGTAAATGAGCCATCTCAAATTTTTCCCCACCCTCTTAAGAGGGATTAAATTTACATAACAGGCTGGAGTTTGGTGCTCATGCAAATTGTTCATGTAGACAAACCCTAGTTTTCCCATTTTGCTGTTATTATTTTTTTGTTTTTATTTAGAATGAAATAATTAGGTTTATCAGAACATGGAAAAGTAATAATAATGAAATACATTATAAAAATAGCAAAGAGTTAGAAAAATAGCAAAAATAAATAAATCTCACTGACAGAACTTTTCCACTGCAATTTATGACCACACTGGCACTTTGCATGTAAATGAATCCTAAACGTGTAATTACGAGGCACTTTTGAATATTGATTGGAAAGACAAGGACACAGAAATGAAGCACTTGTGAATGCACCCCTCCTAAGCTACTGTAGCAACCCATTAATAAATACCTTTCTGGCTCTTTAGTGCTGGGCTTGCCTTACACTGAGTGAAACAATGTCGTTTGATTTTCGCTGATATAGCATGTGTACTTCATAGATGGATGGATGGGATGGTTCCAATTAGCCATGGTCATTGCTCATGTATTTAAGCTGACAGTGGGAGTCTTGCATTGAATATCCTTGATTTTGGTAGTTTTGTCAAATGCTCCTGCAAAGTACTTTAAAAGCCCATAAAGAGCACATTGTGAGGAATGCACCCTAGATGGAGATTTGATTTACAGCTGTAGCAATGTTCTCAATTAGACATGGCAGGGAAATCATTTATTTTCAGTAGACAGTGTACAATGATGGGGAATACTTAAAAGATAATAAAGTGACCAAGATCCATACCTTTTTTCTTTTCCTATTATATACAATCAACACTGCAATTACTTCTGACTTTTACTTAAGATTTCATACGGGGTTTATTAGCACATAATGCATCTTTGAGTACAGAGCACTCATTTCCTGGAGCCTACACGGCGCACACTTGCAGCAGGATTGATGGCTTGTGACACCAGCGGCACAGGTGCACGTAGTGTCTCGTAAGGCCCCCTGACCTTCCACATGATGTGTACCATGCTGGCCTGTTTGTAAGCGCGAGCCCTGTTTGTAAACATGGACAGAAGGATGAGAGGCGCATTTGCCCCGGTCGCGCTCAGCTCGCAGACAGGCACAACGCAACGTGACAAGCAACAGATGTGTCACACAAGCTGAAATCAAAACAGCCGTCCGGCACGGAGTTGCGGCACCATCAGACGTGGTTGCTGTGATGAGGCGGGGAGGCAGAGAGCGCTGCTGGCAGACGAGACAAGGCAGCGCCTCTGCTGCTCCCAGCTTCCTGTCTGGAAGAGGACAGGCCCGTTTGTAGGCTGCTTTGACACCCCTAGTCACTTTGTCATCTGGGGTGCTCGCCGCAGCTCTGATCACATGTACACACTGCATTCAAAGAGCGTCACATCAGCCGTGTGACAGGTAGGCTCCCAATGAGACAACAGCCAAAGGCGATGTCCTTTTCAATACACTGTGTGAGTACAAATGCACAGTGCAAGAGAAAATAACATCATATGACATCATTCTGAAAGCTCTTATGTTGTCTTTTTTCAGTTTGGAAAGAAGTTTGTAATACAGTGTGGTTTTCAGAACTGCCCTGAATGAGAACAGAAAGACAGGGACTAAAGTCACTCTCAGTACATCCACGATGTCATCTTCATGCAAACCCATTGTTGTGTGTGACAGTAAAAGTGCAGCAGGCGTTAGCTTTACACATGTTAATGATATTCTCAGCAGCTTAATCTGCCCATAGCCGCTGCCCCATAAGCAAATAGTGTGGCTGAATGTTGAGCTGTGGGGGGAGAAATAGGAATCCATCATCAGAACAAGTGAATGAATGAAGGTGCCGCAACAGCTGCTTGACTGATCATGTACTACAGACTGTCACCCCACATCTGTTTACCACTCCGACAGCCACACGAGTGTTTATATCCACGGGTGTAATTGAGCTATTTTCCCGAGGGCAGCTGTAACCCACACTAAGTTATATCCCAACTTTCCATTAAAGCGTGGGGGGAAGTTTTACTGATAGTAATCACGCCCAGCAACAATGCTATGTAAATATGGCTTATCAGCTTTGCCAATTTGGTTAAGTGGCATGTACGTGGGTGATTCACATATTCAGCTCCGTGGCTCCAGCACAGGCCACATACAGTAGTCATTTATTAAACATAGGTAACTTGCATTGTTAAGAAGTATGTATAAAGCATGCACATAATCATGAAAATGATGCTGTGTAGAAAAAGATGCAAATACGCTCACAAAGTCTTTAACCGACCATGTGGGCAAAGTTAACTGTCTGCATGCACAGTATATGGAAATTGAAATGGGTACATCTAGATCTAAAACACACTATTTAAATATTCAAATGTTAACACCAAACAATATAATGCATTATGGCTCTTAGTATTTGCGTACAACTCTGTTTGCTGCTGTGAGCTGGGGGATGATACAAGGAAGAGAGATAGTGAGGGAGAGACACTGGGTGGAGGATATGAAGCACACAAACAAAGCCTTTGTCTACCAGTCATAGGAAAATGACATCTGACTTTGTATGTTAATTCTTTAAATGTTACTTTAAGTGTCATTATTGTACATAATATATCAATTTCAGTCTAACCAGATTTTAATTTGCGTATGTTAATATAACCGGCTACCTTTTCTAGTAATTAATCAGTAGAGAGAACATGGGTGTGAGATATTAATATTTTTTGATTATCTTTGTTTCATTGTGGTTACAGGGGAAAAACAGAAGAGAATAAAACCACTGAGGTAGCCGACTTGCAGAGATAATAGGCCACCTTCCCTTCCTCCACACAACTGAATCTTCACTAATTTGTAGACACGTTTTTTAAGCAACCCAGAGCTCTAATTTTAGTTTAAACTACCAGTGTTTTTGATGTTGCATTTCAGCTGTCTGTGGGGGTTTTCACATGCGGTGTTTCTTTTTTCCTTGTTGCAACCGACTATTTTGCACAAAAATCCAATTGAAAGTTATGCAAGGTGCTCAGAATGTGGTCACTGCACCTTTGGTTACTGTTTAGGTATATAACAGAAGTTCCAAAAATCAGAAAGTGCTGAGTAACAACACATTGTCTTTCACATTCAACCAATCACAATGAAGGTAGCAAGCATAGGGGAGGCTTCTTTCTGAACATTTAGAACACAAAATGGTGGGATCAGATACAATGGAGCCACAGGTAAACTGAAATTACCCGTTTACTGTAGGAACAAGGTTTCTCCAGAATTTAAAAAAATAATTTCTC